CGAAACCGACTTTCTCTAAACCTCGGTGTGACTAATCAATATGTATTCTTTCTTGATAAGCTTGCACGAGGTTGATAAATATATTTATTTTCGGCTAACGTTTCGACGTCTTCGTCTTCCTCAGAGCCGATGGTCCGAGTCGATGGTCCATGATTGTTGTTCGTCTCGACGTTGCAGCTTCGTCTTCGTGTCGAGCCAGGTCTTCCTCAGTGAGCCATCTTCTCGAATCGAATCGACTTCTGCACGGTGTGCGCAACGATGTATGCCCAGAAGAAATACAAGCTGTTACCACCGGACATTATCATTATATATTCACCATCAGCATCGTGTATAAAAGGGCATCACTGACTGAGGATGCCTCATTCGATTCGAGAAGATGGCTCACTGAGGAAATCCTGGCTCGACACGAAGGCGAAGCTGCAACGTCGAGACGAACAACAATCATGGACCATCGACTCGGACCATCGGCTCTGAGGAAGACGAAGACGTCGAAACGTTAGCCGAAAATAAATATATTTATCAACCTCGTGTAAGCTTATCAAGAAAGAATACATTTCGGTATTTACTTTTGGATTCCTCCTCAGATGATGGGCGATAAAGCGAAGCATCTTCAAGATGCTTTTTCGTTATCTTCACATCTAACTGATGGGGAATTACGACAAACTCTCCACCTTTATCACTAACGGAAAGTCTTATGGTTTTCAACCTTATCAACTCTCGTACCTCTCGCATACCACTTTTTTGCACTGGGGTGAGGTTTGAGGTGTATCTTTTCGCACGATAGTGATTAAGGACTTTGAGAGCTTCACTCGCAAACATCCGAAAATTGACATCAACTTCATTATTGGGCTCTTGTTGTCTAAAGAACGTCGGGGGAAATGGTGCTATTGGTAGGACCCCCACTTGGTGTGGTTCGCACCTATTTAGCGCTTCATCTCTAGCTTTTTTGCGGAGTCTATCCTGAAGTTCATGTAAACCACATGTGACCCTACGCGACGTTTTCTTAGAAATAGGTTCAGATGGTGAGAAACTCGGCCCCAATTCTAATAATGAGCGCGTACCGTCAGGGAGAGTTATGCCTCCTAACACGGTTAGCCTTAAATTTTCTTGTACATTACCCATTCTAATGTGATCTGTTTGATGTTCTTTAGCGATATTTTTGTGCGCTATTGAAGCTGTGTTATGTGATTTACTCAAAAGGTCTTCGAATTTTCCTCGCAAAGCTACTTTAGCATTAGACCTAATAGAGTTGCAATGCTCAGGATAGGTGTAGAGGAAATCGTATGCGTCCAAACGACAACTCTAGCGATAGAAGGGTCCCGTTTATCCTACCCTTCATCTCAAATGATATAAGTACAGCTATAAAACGCTGCTTGAGAAGGGCGGGTTTAGAGAATTCGGTGAGCGTAGTTGAAATACCACCGAGTAATCTTAAGCGCCAGCTAGTTCGCAACCACCTATATGACCGTCTATGTGCAACTCAAAATTGCATAATTTGCCCCAGTGGTAGAGACGGTGATTGCATGAGCTCGGGTATAGTTTATCTGATCTCCTGTAAGACGTGTGGTGACGAATACATTGGCGAAACGGGTAGACTCCTCTGTGTCCGCATAAAAGAACATCTAGCAAACATAGACCAAATACACCGCTAGGCACGCATAGGACCCAGAGACATAACGGGGACGACTTCGAAGTATGTGTCACGATCCTCGCACACGAATCAAGAACACAGGCGCGAAAAACTCTCGAGGCATTCTGGATTAATTCCAGAAATCCGAAAATGAGCCACAGGGAAGAATGCCTCATTATCACCCGTGATATAGGGCAGTATATAAAACTGCTATTCTGATGGGAGGGGCACATTACACTTCCATGTGATTTTTGTGGGGTTGGTCTCTACGTGGCATACTTAGTGGAAACCTCAGAGAAAGCGGTGAGTGTGCAAAGCTATGTTCAACGTGATTGAAATCTTGGCTTAGAGTTTCTTTGTTTGGTTATGGAGGCGTCTGGCCGAGTAGATTGCTGTCAACTTGACCTTTCCAGGCTCTGAGGAAGGCGAAATCCGCCGAAACGTCAGTTTATTCGTGAATAAAGAACAATAACACCTCGCGTTTGCTCAACAAAAATACGAAGAACAAAAGACTTTGCTAACTCTTAGCAACCAAGAGTTCGGCATTTCATTTTCTGTTTCTAAATGGCTAACTTTAAATCAATAAATATCGGTTTTCTTTGAGAGCATAAGGGGGAATAACAAACTTCAGTGTTCATTGTTTCTCCATACATCTTGAAAAGACGTTAGAAACAGAAACACAATTTGAAAGCGATGGTTTTTCTTCACGTTCTATCCATTTTGTCACCTTTTTTTTTTTTCAAAATCCACTTTAGTGGTAGCTCCCATGAAAGGTCTAGAAAAACGTGTAAAGTCTTTTAGATTAAGTTTTGTCCTCGAAAAATTCACATCTTTTAATATTATTTTGCTAAAAAATTGGTGGGGCTTCAGTCATTCGCATTCATGGTCATCTAAATTCAGGTGATGAAGATTATTATTTGGTGGACGATGAAGTGCAATCGACAACTGCACTGAATCTAATGGAAGAATGTAAATCTGAACGGTAAGTCCATGCAAGGTTTACATGGATTTTTTAAATAGCAGGTCGTACGGTAGTGATATAGAGTGTGCAATGGCACACTGTCACTATATAACGACGCGGTCAGAAAATCGTACAGCTTCGTATATAGTCAAATCAACAGCGGTTCACATGTGGATTTTGAGAACATTGGTTTCGTAAGTAGCTCACCATTCTTATTCGAATGGGAAGTCAGTGATTTTTGATCTTCGCTAGTCGATTCTCTTTAAAGGACCAAGTTGGACGAACCTACCGGTGCCGATGATTATTGTATTTGTGCATTCGATCGAAACACTAATGACGCATGGCCGTGTTTTCTAAAGGATAGTTGGGAATCCACGGAATGTGATACATGCAATGAACACGCATTTTGCACTAAAGATAATAAAACATGTAAGTGAATTTGATTCAGTTATGTTCGAACGTTATCGGTAGATGACTAAACGAAAGACTTTCGTGCTGATTACTACCTTAATTCAATCGATACGTGTTAAATATGCGTGCTGATTTTGGTACTATATGACTATGTTTATGTGTCCTACAATTTGTGAACAATACATATAATAGTGAGCTCAGAAAGCTCTAAAAGCATAAAGCTCTCGGCATTGATCAATTCGTTAGAGATGTGTCATGCTTTCTACTTCATTAACCATCATTGGAAGTGATTGAATGCATATCTTCCCTTCACAATGACTAACGGTGACTTACCGATGTATCGAGTCAGTGCTGCTATCCTCCTAAACAAGTCTGGTACCAATTCGTCGAACCAGGAGGGATGGAAGGCTTGGTGTGGTAGAGGCACGGAAGTCGATCCCATGTGTATTGCAGGGCGCCTCCGACCACTGCGCCACACTCGGCCGGCTAATCAGTACTAAATAGAAGCTATTTATTTATGTGATCTTATAAACTGATCTTCTTAAGCTGACGCGAGGTTGGCACAGATCTTCGTTGTCGTTGTCGTTGTCGTTGTTTTTGATGTTATTGAACGATGGCTGACGTTTCGGCGACTTCGCCTTCCTCAGAGCCGTGATGTTACGTGCGGGACATAAATAGAAGCTATGCGAAACGTGCAGACTAATTGTCATCAGCGTTTGATCGAAACGCATATTTTCCACGCGGAATAGTTTATATTATTGAGATTGGGATAAAGTTATTGTGTTATTTATAAACTGAGAAAAAAAGAGAAATATGTTAATTTTTCCATGTGCTAGTTGTAGCACTTGATATACTTACTTGAATACCTTAATGATCCATCTTCACAAAAACTGAGTTCTGTTTAAGATGATTTTCTCATGAGTGGTATTTTTCTGATCAGTGAAATTTCTTTTCTTAATGTCTTGGAGTACCCGTGTTTGGGCCTTCCAAGGTTTTTCAGCAGTCATTCTACATTACTGGCAGACAAAAAGGTTTACCCACAGCTATGTTTTCTCCAGAACGGCAACTATTCTTGTAATTGGTTTCCTTTCTTTTTGAACTTCAGATAGAACAGAATCAGGAAGATACTTCATCTCAGGATGGCATTTTAGCATAAGGATTCTCTCCCAGTTGCTTTCTAACATCGAGCATCCTCGCCAAACTTATTAGAAAGGAAAAACATTGAGAGCAGTGTACTATGCGAAATACAACCACAACGACGCCGAGATGTTTGGAAAAATCCGGACCGCAGGTGTCTGAAGTGGAGAATGAATGCACTATTACCCTTTCTGGGGACTAACGCGCTCATCACCAAACCATGATGGTCGTCCTTCATTTTGCCTGCCTCTCAGTTAGTTCAAGCGATCAGTGCCATCAGCAATCACTCGTCTACGGGACTGATTTAGAGAGCCACATAAAACATTAAACCCGGTAAACTGAGGTTGCGGTTGAAATCATAGAATCATCATAGATAGAAAACTAGCTACGAGATAGGAGAAAAGAAGGACTCGCATGGTGTGGAGGTAAACACGCAAGCCTCCGAAAAGGGTAATAGCGCGTTTGTTTCCACCGCAGACGCCTGCAATCCGGAGTTTTGCAAACATCTCAGCATCGTTGTGGTTGAATTTCGCATAATACCCTGTCGTGAAAAATTGTAATAGGCAAAAAATAAAAAGTAAACACTGAGAGCAGTTGTTATTGTATTCGTTGTAACAAATCGTGGTTGCACACCGATCGCTCTTTTAAAAAATAACGACTACAGAACTAACGTTTTTTCTTATTTTTTCTCGATATAAGCATTTATTCTCGTTTCAGATAAGGGGCATAAATCCCCTTGTTTATGCGCACCGTCGAGATTTTGCGTTGCTTACAATGGGAAGACACCGCCTATAGAGATCTGGACATACCTCAGAAAAGGCCCACCTGTGGAAGATCCGAATTTTCTGGAAGCTATGGGATTTGAGGTGTTCGTTAAGCCTACAGTTGTTTTTTTTTGATCTTTCTTACTATCATCTAATTTTTCGGCAAAGTGCAAAAACAGGTTCCATACGTGTTAGCTGACGCCGCCTTAAAAAACAGAAGCTTCTGCAAAAGCCTAGGATTTATTGACATTGCGTTCTAGTGAACACAATAGCATACTAAGGATGTGCATCGACAGTTTTCTACCTTACGGCTGCTACGTTTCACAATTTATTTGCAAGTTGAAATCTCTGAAATCATCAAGGGTATGACCGACGAGGTGGCAATTGTGACGAAAGCGAAAGAAAACATCATGTTCGCCATGGCAACGTTATCTATGGACGATCGTAAAAAACTGTCCACGACAAAACGAGAACTCGTCCAGAAGTGCTCGTTTAACGGAAAAGCGTGTGACATTGACGCGTAAGCGTTGTTTTTTAACTACTCAATACTTATTCGAACAGTTCATCTTGTCATAATGTGCATATCCCATTACGTCATCAACTCATTTCGTCGTCTTACAACTGTCATATGTAAAGGCAGTCCAACTCTTTCGTGAGTTCAGCTGCGGTAAGTGATCTGAAAATGGATTTAAGGTGTGCGTACCATGAGGTCAAGCAACAATGAATTCGTTTGCTCACCTTTTAACAGGTCCCATAGCAGTTATTTTGTTTCTGTCAGAAACCGCGACGGTGTTACTATCTTCATTCCGTCTTTATTTCTTCATACTGTGTGAACATATTAAGAGTTTAGTTATCCGAATTTGGGTCTCGTTGAGCGGTCAGTTAACCTCACCGTTTACCGCTCTCCTTAAGAAACACAGAACATCTTCCGCCGGTCTATGAGAGCCGGAGCGTACCTGTAGCAAAGACTCTTGAACACCTTGGAAATGCTATGCCGGAATACCAGGCAAGACTGCCGACAAGCTAAACGGAACAATGAATGTAGGGTTACTGGTTCTACTCATTACATGGGCAAGCACGAGCACCTTTTCTACCTAGCAAAGCTATCCCACACTTTCAGAGAGAACAAGTTCGACCACCATTCAATAACAGTGATAAAGATTACGTACTTTTCAAGTGACAGCCGGACCTATATTAAAATCTGCATAGCTTCGGTAAGGACGGATGAAAAACGACGAAACGAATCAAGAGCGAAGTACTGGGATTTGCACAAAATGTGATGCTAAGTCATGGAATAAAGAAGTAGGCAGTAGTTAATAGAACAGCCCCATGAAATAGGTCATACAATAATCGATTTTCTAGCGATTTTCTCACGCATATCGATCCAGTGTTCGGCTCATGTTTTACATTCAATCATAATCGTAACGTCAGTCTGACAAGTATTCGAGCAGGTCTGGTGGTACCAAGTATTTTTTACGAAATTCAATATTTGATGGATGACTAGACCCCTACATTAGCTGTGATTTTAGACGGCGTCAATAAACTTTGTTTAATATTTGCTTGACGGATTTATAAGTTTATGAATTTTGTAAAGAGAGGTATCTATTAAAACAATATAAAAGCGAACAGTAAAGAAAACGAGGACCAAAGACAATCAACTGAGGTCACTGATGGTTACCTAAAGTTAACCGGAGCAGACTCGTCAAGAGCGGACCGCAAAAGTTGGTTTCAGTAGTTTCCTGATGGAGATAAGACACATGAAGATAAGTGGGGATTTCCGTGACTACCTGTCGCTATCAGTGACTACGGACGATTAGACTACTTGCCGAAGAACTAACCATCTGTGAAACAACCCTAACGAAATACTTCAACTGAAGTGGGTTAACAAAGACTAGAGGAAAGCGATCCGCATAACAAGATCGAGAATCGATGTAGGTGTTGCTATGAACTTCCCGTCTTTATCGAATAATGATATGAAAAGAGGAAAAGTGGGTCTGATAAGAAAGGAGGCTGCGATTTGCATACGATCGAATAAATATGAATCGTCAGAACACATGCTGATGTCAAATTTATGTTGAAAGAAGAGTGTGGTAAGGTTTTTCTGCTCAAGACATGGAATCTCTCCATAAATTCTTTTTCGTAGATCAAGCCACTACAAAAGAGAAATAGAAGGATCGACGAAGTGCACTAAGAGATGTTGAAGAAAATTGCGAAATCTTACCCTGCTTCACTTCGCTTACTCGTCAAAACTACTGCTATTCCACTGTCATCTTTTCAAGTACACCGATATCCACTTGTTGAGAAGATGTTCAATCTGCTCCTAGAGATAGCTTCCCAAAATTCATTGGCGTCAGAAGTGTACAATTTTACTTCCGTGGAATGGATGAAGATCTAAGCATTATTAGTAAACATGTATGGATTTAAACTCTCAATAGGTTTATAAAATTTCCATATGAGTTGAAAAAGGCTATAAATCAATAGTTGTTTTTCGAACAAAATATTCAAGTCGCATATTTGTTCGTTTTTTAAAGGACCGATGTATGGATTGCGAATGTTAGTGTACGTGAATGCATCGGATTATATGCCAACTACTGAAGCCACTGGTGTCCGATTGACAATTCACGACAAAGAAGATTTCCCGTTTCCGGACACATTCGGCTACTCGGCCCCGACTGGCTATGTGTCGTCATTTGGACTACGATTGGTGAGGTCATAGAATATTATTTAGACGATCATAAAAGAACGGTTTGTGTTTTCGTAGATGCATTATAGCATATTTTTCTTGTCTCATGGAATTTTCTATATGACAAAGCCTTTGGCGTTAACCAATCCCTTGATGTTATTTGTCTTCAACAAGCATCTCGGATAGAATTAAATGACATGCAACCGACATTGATTTGCTGGAACCGATTAAGTCAGTATTGTTCTAGTGGTCACGGACAATTTGGGGTAGTGACAGAGGCGAGAGGTGAGGACGAGAATTGGTTAACCTAGCCTGACGACCAAATGTGTTTACATGACACCTTTGACCACTGGGCTTCCTATTAATTAAGGAAATGCTAGTTTGTTACGCTTTGGTGGAATGAATCGTTGGTATAGTTTGTCAAAATGAGGTAAATGTAGTATTTTGGCAGGTTGATAGCTTGATTTTACCTGTCATGTAGGTCATAGGAGATTTTCAATTCGCTCCGTTGTCTTAAGAGCATTATCCTTGGACGTGGACAAGCTTGTGCGTTAGTTCAACAGTAGCCTGAGGTCTGTTGCATCTTTCCTTCATTGATGGATTGAGTTCCTTCCAAGCGTAGTCTTGGATAGAATCCCTAGGCAGGCATGCTATCACATTTCGTTGTCTTCATCACAGGCAACTGATAGCCCTTGTGGATCGGAGAAGGATTCTTCTTTCTAAACTAAGATTCATCTAGGATAACGGGAAGCTGTTCTTACGATTAACCGAAGTACCATTGAATGCCATGCAACAGGTCGAATAAGATAAACATCTTGTAGATGCCCAAGTAAAGTGGTAATGAATTTACAGAGGAAAATGACCCGTCTTCCGGCTCCATACGGAGATTGTGTGCCTGACGGAAGAACATCCGATTACATCTACAAAAATTACGAATACTCCGTAGAGGTGAGCGTTTTCTAGACTGAACCATTGATTTTATGGATTGACTGATAGATGGAATAGTGGTAATACGAAGTGATTAGTGTTAAGCAAATTTTTTTTTCACATTCGTATCCCCTCAAGGAATATTTATGTGAAGGCTGAGAATGTCGTGTAATTCCAAAAGATGCTTTTGGTTTTTTGAAAAGAAGAAAGTGCTTGGAGAAACTTTCTGAAAAAAACCATTTAAACACCTGCCGTATGTTGAGCTTTCGTTTCATAACATTTATACACAAGTTCAAATTAGTGGTTTCAAACAGATGAAGGGCATGGTAACCCTAGGGAGCGGAACTGTAAACCGCTTAAATGCGTCTCAAGCATAAATGCACTGCGCTACTTGGTCACTACCACCAGTATCGGTGTATATTGGTGTAATAATATTTTTTGAAAAGCGTTTGCCTGGTTTATCTATGCTAAGTTACTTGCTGTTGAGTTTATTTGTTGGAATATGAAATGTCTAGCGTTCCCATTAAAATGTCCTTAAAGCTTTCTTCTTGGAGCAAGTTTTTTCTTTTTCATGTTTTTTCAATAAGCGACTTCATTGGTGTGTAATTTTGTAACTAAATGTTAACTAGAGAGCTTTTTAACTAGGGGATTTTAGGGCTGTTATAGATCGTGTTTTCAACAACTGGTGCTCAAGGAGTGTAAATGTGGAGACCCTCGATTTCCAGTTCCAGAGGGCGTGAAACACTGTGAAGCGGCCGATCCGGTGGCTAGTGAGTGCTGACGAAATCCTTGCTGTCTTTGGAACACTAAGTTCTTCTTTGATTTTTAAAAGATTTAGTGTGTCTACAGGGTATGTGAGGTAAACTGTAGAACATCATAGTGTAATAAATTCAAAACTGCTGTAGTCGATTGTCATTGGATTACTCGATTGCCTCTTTCTTGGCCCATCAGCGTTCGAAAATGGTTTTCTCTGGCTTCGTTCTCCTCTTGAGAAATCTGTCCATTTCCTTCCAGTTCAGTCTTCCTCACCAATGATGTATCACCGTGCGCACGATGACGTTAACGGATTTGCTGTGTTTTATTTTTGAAGGTTGTCGAACTACAAATGGAACTGGTAGTTCGTATAGATGCCACGTTAGCGTCAAATACTCCTCATCGTGAGGGCATCATTATGGCCAGTTTGGTGTGGTCGTGCTTTCAACAGCTACCGCTTGTACAGTAGTCCAATGCGATGCATTGTTGAACACTTTACCGTATAGGTCTGCCCCCACTGTTTCCTCGATGGTAAGGTGTATAAGATTTTTAAAAAGTGAGAAGGAGATTAACACTGATCTTAAGTTTTATTTTGTTACTATACTGAATTGTATTTATTTTGTTAAAATATTGTGTTACATTCAATACATTACATTAGGTAACAGTTCCCAGGATCGACCTTCTATTAACCTCGGCATTGGAATATGAATGCGTCGTTTTCCTGTTCAGCACTCGCCATGTTGTCATACAGCATGCGTTTACTTCCATACAGAAACTCACTATTCAACAGTAGCTGACGTTTTGGCAGTATCACCTTCTTCAGAGCCTGGAAGGGTATACTGATATACAATCTACTAGGTCGAACGCTTAATTAACACATAGAAGGTTGAAAATATCTATGATAATTACGTAGTCAACAGCTTTTCGAGAAACCGTTTTTTTGACTTCCAATGAGCAGGATTACAGCAGCTAATTATAGCCGCATATGGTTGATAACTGCACCATTCCACATCAGAAATTGATGCGAACATACGGGGCCAAGCCACCTGCGACCTCTGGGCATTTCTCCCTGCTATTCATTGTAGGGTTTCTGGCATTTATCCAAAAAGCCTCAAAAAGTTTGCGCGTTGGTGTTTTAGTCTGCTGTGCTAGTTTAGTGATTTCACATCAAAATCGTCTCCATTTTGCTTTTTTTTCTTTTTTTATGCGTGCCCAGTGGAGTACTTTGTCTTGCTTTTCGTTTGCCATATGGGTGTTCTTTTATGCGGATGCATAAAGGACAGCCCAGTATATTCTTCTTTGCAACCACTACAAGACATCAGGTATATCGTACCCGAATTCATGCAATCACCGTCTCTGCCGTAAGGGCAAGTTACGCAATTTGGTGTTTCACACAGATGTTCATACAGGCGGTTGCGAAGTAAACGATGACGTAGAGGACTCGGTGGTATTTCAACTATCGCAACCGATTTTTCTAGACCTGCCCATTTTAAGCATCGTTTTATAGCTACGCTTACTTCATCGCTAATAAAGTCAAACATAAACGGGACTTTCGTTTAGCCAAGTGTTTCGTTTTGGCGCGCCGTTCTCCTTTTAAACTTATTTGGTGTGGTTAGTATTTCGTAGCCATTGGAGATGGCTATTTGCCGAATCAAGTCGCGCGATTCCTCCTTAGGTCCCCTTTTCGTGCACGCAGAGGTCTCTGTTCGACACATGTTCCTCACAATCGCCCTCTTTGTGTGTGAAGGGTCGGAAGAGAGGAAATGAACAGGGTTGCTTAAACAAGGATGTAACCGCTATATGATAAGTTAATTTGAACGTTGAGAAATAGAAGCCAATTTCTACTGAGTTTCTCCCGAACTCAGTGAATTTGTTGTACCCAGACTAGTCATTCAATATTCAAAGCATTTGTCCATCTCCTCCTGAGTGGAGAAGGTGGCGAAACAGTCATCTATACATCTGAAGCAGATCAGCGGCCAGAGATCGATAGCGGGGCTTCTATTTTAGACATGAACGCAATGGAGAGAGCTGGGGCCAACCGCTTCCCACTGCCAGCCCTCTAATTTGCGCGTAGTAATTCCCAGACTGCCTGAAAATCGAACAGTTTAGGCACTTTTTTAAGAGAGTCACAAACTGTTGAATAGATAAAGCATGCATATGTATTGTTTCTTCATGTTGGACAAGAAGTTCGAGGATGGCTACATTGCGGAGTCATTCGATAGGTCGGTGTAAAGCGCATTAATGTCGAAGGACTCCATCTCGTACGTCCTATTAGGAGATGCGTTACGTAGACGTTCTAGAAACATTTGGGTGTTTTTTAGGTGAGTTGGAATGTGACTAAGCAACTGAGTAAGTATTAGGCTTAAAAACCAGGTTATTCTATCCGTTGGCCTGTCTACACAACTCATAATGGATCTAACCTCATAGGATAATGGATTGGCTGACTCGAGATCGTCAGCTGGTACTAACTTATGTGTTTTAATAAGAAAGCATAGAACGGGATATGTTGGTTTACCTATTTTAAAGTGCGAAAGAACGGATTATTTTACTCCGCCGCCTTTACATTGACCCATTCATTGTTAAGTTTTCGGTATTGTCTTTTGCGTTCCTTTTTAGATGATAGGTGATGAAGAGTAACATCACTAAGATGTTCCGCCGTTATCTTAACATCCAGCTGGCGAGTAATAACTACAAACTCTCCCTCTTTATCGCTAAATGATAGTCTTGTGGTCCTTGAGCTTATTAATCCCTAATTTCTCGCATTCCACATTTTTGTGTGGCTGTGAGCTTAAAACATACTTTCTTTCGTGATAGTGGACAAGGGTTTCGAGGCCATAATCCGAAAAATACGGAATTTTGCATAAATTTCGATGTTGGGGTCCTGCTGTCTGAAGAACACTGTAGGGCAAAGATATGGTGCTAATATCGCAATTTCTTCATTTATGTCTTTTTAATGTTTCGTTTTTGGCGTCATTTATTGCCGAGTCGATCTTGAATCATACAAACTGCATGCGATCCTGCGCACGGTTGCTTTAGAAATGGGTTGTGATGGCGAGAAACTTAGGCCTAATTCCAGCAGTGACGTTTCCGGGTACGGTAATGCCCCCATGTACGGGGACCCTAGATTTTCGTGGTGCATTATCAACCCGATTTTGACTATTAAACGACTTTTGACTAAATAAACGTAAACAATATTCTTTGCGGTTTTTTGGAACTGAGAGATGTAAATTATTCAAAAGATTATCGAACTTTCGTTGTAAGGTTATTTCGGCGTTAGATCTAGTTGAATCGTATATCAATTCTGACGTACCAACTATTTTCGACCAAAGGCAATTCTCCACATACAAAGCACAAACGTGTTCCACTACCGGGCACTTCTTCACTATGGCGAACATATCGTTCTACGTGCTTCGTAGTGCAGTTCGAAGTGGTTCCATTTCGACGTTTCACACTCGTTGGCTATCCTTTGCTTGACCGCATTTCTCGTGATGCCGCTTTCGTTTTATGAACATCGGCATGGTTCAGTGTTGAAAACAGCAGCGGAGAAAGTTGGTTTATTGTCTGCCTAAGGCAATCTTTTGTCTTAGCAACTCTAAGTGGTAGGATGGTGAATTAACAATGATGGCTGCATTTGACGAATATATATGAATGTTGCACCAATTTTTTTGTCACTCAAAGTACACAGTTGGGCAATAAACAGAGTCAACTCGAAAATTGAGCTGAAAGTGACAGACCTATGCCCTAGACATGGTCTCACGCTTTACGTATTTAACTTATTCTTGGGTACTGATCTTGAAAGCATCTTCAAAGCTGCCGATCACATCCGGAGTATAGTAATCCTCCTGCAGTAAACGAGGTGGAGAAACACTCGCTCTCCAAATAAACGTATAATTACAAGGATACTGAGATATGAAGAAAACTCGTTATTCTTGAGAAGATGATTCCGTCTCATAGCAACAATAGTGCCCACTTTACTGTGAACTGATGCACTCATATAATACCCATACTGTCATTAATTTTATGGGTACTCGTTCAGCCATCCATTCTACGAGTGACTCTTGCGTGTACAAAAATTTCCCCATAATTCTCCAGCATATTTTGAGCTACCGGTTTATTGAAATATTACAAACAAAAGAGTTATATGATCCTCGAACAGTTGGTGGACTAATCCTTGAAGTTGCCGTACATCAAAATTAATCGGAAAGGCATCAAATCTTCATCCTAGTCACAAAAGCCAACGACTACATTTCACCACGAACTAAGAACGCCCAAGTATGGCTATGTCCAGACTCCAAAAAACATCATGCTTGAGCAACATTCGGAATTTAATTAGGAACAGAATATGAAGGATCCACAAGCCCCAGTTGAACTTTCACACCGAAGCGACTGCCTTTGTGTACGATAGTTGCGAGACAACAAAACGGAATACTTGCCGCTGTCTGCATGAATGACGCATGAGAATGAGACGAATAAGCAAAATGGGGCCCAATAAATGACATTCATACCAAATCTTCCCAACTATGCTGCTACTGAGGGTGCATGTGGCGCAGTGGTTGGAGGCTCCACTGCGACATACCAGTCTTACTTTTTTTGTGACAGGGTTTCTTTCAGAGGTAGAAGGTATTTTGCTGGTACATCTTGTAAAACACGAGGTTGTTATTACAGCATTTACAAATTCACACTAACTGATGTTTCGGCCATTTCGCCTTCTTCAGAGCCGTTTTGTTGTTCTTAAGTCTTCCACTTATTATGCGAGATAGAATGAAAATATCGATCACTTATCTGAAGTTGATATTTCTAGAATATCTTGTCACTTTGGTACCCACGATGTGGAAATAAACAAGAAGATCATTATTTTGGAGTATATATTTCGCGGATCAACCGAAAATGCGCTGGGCACAGGTAGGGGGCGCCCTGCAATACATATGGGATCGATCCCTGTGCTACAGGTCCACCAACCTCTGCATTCCTCCGGGCTCGGTAAATTAGTGCCACACATTCTAGAAGGGTGGCAGCACTGGCTTGATAAATAGGTGGGCTATCGTGAGTCATTGTAAAGGCCAGATGTGCATTCAGTCACCTCCAAACGATGCTTAATGAAGTCGAATGCACGGCGCATCCCTCAAGGATTGATCAACGCCGAGAGCTTTATCCTTTTGTCCTTTAATTTTTAGCCGAGCAGCATATGTAATCTTAGGTAATTTCTAAGGATCCGTCCATCATTCTTCGTTGGCGAAACAACCGTGCTTGAAATTCTTCACTGATCTGGGATTGCTTCTTCTTGAATATGCCAATAATGTCATACCAATTGGACGAAGTGTGTATAACTTCTGCATTCCAACTGGAGCGAAATTGACAGCCTTTTGTCCAGTCCTTGAAACTCTCGCTTTTCGTACTTCTGAAGCAGATCGATTTCCAGGGAACAAAGTAAATGTGTTGTATGTGTTGTAGTTTTTCCAGAGAAGGTTTTGAAGTCTGATGTGAATCTGGTTGAAAAAACGGTTGCGGTAGGACTGTGCTCGTCTATTACTGTACGTCATACTTCCATAGTTCTCCTCTCGACAGTAAAGTCTTAACTCAAGAAAGAAACAAGATTGACTTACAGAGATCTTACACTTACACTTACTTACAAGGAGAGGTCGAATTTACTATCCTCAATTTAATCGGCAACATACCCTTGACGATGACAAGTTGCGAAATGCGAAGCAAAGGGTAAACGAAAAGGCGGTTGTGTTAATTTATGACTTTAACATATTTCCATTCATATCTTTAAATCGCCAACTAACCGATCTTAGATGGATTAAGGATAAAGCACTCGGCGTTATCAACGCCTTAGGGATGCACCATACATTCGACTTCATTAAGCATCGTTTGGAGGTGATTGAATGCATATTTGGCCATTACAATAACTCGCGCTGGCCTACCGATGTATCGAGCCAGTGCTGCTGTCCTCCCAGACAAGTCTACTGCCAATTTGTCGACCCCGGAGGGATGGAAGGCTTGGTGGGCCATAGGCGCTGGGTCCGACCACATGTGTGTGCCTCAGGGCGGCTCCGACCACTGCGTCACACGCGTGCTAACAGAACTTCGGTGCGTATTATTGAACGAGCTTCGGTATGCTCGTTGAAAATAGAAATGCTGGATTCGTTTTAAATGTTTCGCAAGTGAAGAGTGATTTGTTATTCTCCAGGAAAATGCCTCGACGCCAGAATGAATGAACTTGGCGGTCTTCATGGTTCTTTTAGATGCAGGTTTGGAGTTTTATGTAAATTCTGTATTGAAGCACAGGCATTTACGCGCATAGTACGTCTTTTTATTTGTTCGTTTTGCCAATCATTGGGTGCGGTGCGTTCGATTCTACTACACTCACAGACTGTAGACGCTCGTTTTCGTGCTTTCTCCTTTTCATTCTTCTTCTCTCGTTTTTCTTCGTTAATACTTATTCTTTTCCTTTTTTTATTCTTCCTTTCTTGTTTTTCTTATTTACCACCTACTCTTTCTTACCACGTTCCAAACAAGTTTTCGAGATCTTATAGTAAAATTAAGATGTCAACAACCGTGCAAACAGTCGATCTATTCGGTGACGTATTCGCCAGCAAAGTGGCCTTCACTTTCACTTCAAATTCAACTCGGGTCGTGCAATGGTTCAAATGCCGAGTGCAATAAACACTACAAGTAAGTAAGAGGATGTTCGGAAATAAATGTAACGTTTGCAGTTTTATTTTTTACATGTTTTGGTAAAATTTTTCCTAGTGGAGTAAGCCTGCGTGAAAATGTGAAAGTAGCAAATAACTAGGAATGCCGCTGTGATCATAATGGGCCGCAGGCGTCACAAAGCTTCCACTTTCGTTGGATGAGGTAAGGGCAGGGGCAAATCTTCGCTGGACAGCGTTCACACGAGATCTAGTGGTTCATTAGCTGGCATGCTAACTGTCTGTCCACGTAGTTTTGTTTACAACACGTTTCTTTGATAAACTTATTTCTGGCTCAAAATTGAAACCGATACGTTTTCGTTGTCGTTGTCGTTGTTTTTAGTGATGTTGGTCGATGGTTGACGTTTCGGCGATTTCGCCTTTCTTAGAGTCGTCCTATTAGGAGTGGGACTCGTCCCTCTCACTGTGACTCTGACGAAGGTGAAATCGCCGAAACGTCAGCCATCGACCAGCAACACTAACAAAAACAACATTGAAGCCGATAAATTTCGACAATTGCATGATTTGCACGAAAATGTCCCGTAGTTAACTCGATTTAATGGCAGCATCAATTTCCAGCATTCTATTTAGTTCAAATCATTTAAAGTTAAAGCTGAACTGAAAGTGTTATACTTATTTACTTGATACTTGAATGTCCTGTTCTCACTGGTTGTCCGGGTCCCAACGTATTCTCGTCTTTTCGAAGATTTGCTGGTTAAGCCATTGTGGTTCTCTGGAATCCCGAGGTCAGCTTGGCCAAAGTCTGCCCCAGGTCTTCAACACCACAGGCAGCCGTGGCCCCTGTAGATCAGAAGGAGATTTGCCACCATGCAACTTTGGTTTTTGAGGACGGTGGTCGATCCCAGTATTGGTCTACTCTTAGGAAGAATTCCTGGTGGAAACGCCAGATTCCTTCGCTTGGAAGACACTGCTGGGGTTGAATCCCCGCTGTACATCGCAGTCCGACACCCAGGAACACCTCCCTACCACGATGAGGCGGTAAACCGTTGAGAAGAAAGAAAGTGTTGTATACAAAGAATATTAGAACCGGAGCGTTAATTCATCATCATTGGTCGATTCGCTGAGAACACCTACGTCCTCTCATTCATCCTTATGTGACATCGAAGAACTATTTTTTACAACTACTGTTAAAACTAATAAGAAATGAGCATTACAGAGAGAATGGCGCTATGGTGGAAGTGTTCTACGAGCAGCTAAACTTTGAAATGCTCACGGAATCCGAGGCGTACGGCGTATGTAGTGTCTACTTTCCTATTGGAATAAACTGCAGTGAAAATAACCATTTGTTGTTCTAGTGTTTTTTAGTTTGTCAATCTGCTTGCCGATTTTGGTGGACAACTTGGCTTATGGTGTGGAATCTCTTTCCTCACATGCTGCGAATTCGTCTTTCTCTTCTTGGAGACGACGTACATGAGCGCTCAGCACAACTGGGCTCTGTACAAGAAGAAAAAAGTTGAAAAAGAAAAACAGAGGAATTTATTTTGAGAGAGATAGAATGGAAAAAGCGAAAGAAAGACGAAAGGAAAAGAAATCATGATGTTTTTGGTCAAGGCTACGTGCACTTTAAGTTGTAGAGGAAATACGTTGCCTCTAATCGATTTGAATCATCTTCATCTTTTGTTTTACTGTGACTAAATACATTTAAGAAGCTTCGTGAGCGCTTGAAAAAATAACTTTGAAGGATTTTGAATGAAGGGAAATACGGCGGGAAATTGAGCAGAAGGAGCCGTAGAAAATCTTAAATGAAAGGCTGGATTAATTTCTAACATTCTACGAAATTACAATATCTCTTGGTAGTTGTTGATGGCACTGATCGATAGAACTAGCTGAGTGGCAGGCGAAACGGGGGATCTGCGTGTTGTAGTGTTGAACGCGTTAGCCCCGGTAAGGGGTAACAGCGCGTTCGTTTCCCACCGCAGACACCTGTGGTTGGGAGTTTTGCAAATATCCCAGCACCATTGTGGTTGTGCGTCCTGGTAGTACTTTTACTACATGGGTGCTTTCGAAGAAAAAAAGAGAACTTACAATGGAACACTCTTAAATAATGATTTTCAAGGAATTCTACAATGGGCTTTAGTGAGGTTACAGCTTGTACAATGTTTTTGCGTGGAGCCATTTAAAAACAAAAAGTGCTTAAAAAATGCCAAAACTTGTCTTCCGTTGGACACTGTAATCTTATTAAAAGTGCCAGTTAAGTGAAAATGGTGCACAAAAAGCTCAGAAATTACAGGAAAATATGAAGGGACGAGGTGAAAGATTTGGGAGAGAATGTAATCTATTATTGAGAAACCCTGTTATAATCAAATATCAGTCTATATAACTGGTCCTGCGGTAGTGGCGGTGATAAGATCAAAAAGCGTTTTTACGGTTTTCAGTAATGCCTCTGGAAGAACGGATTCAAAGAGAGAGAGTGATGTGCAGGGAAGATGGAAAGAGGCATAAACGACCTTCGTCGGCAAGGAAGGTGTCTTCTAGAACATAATCAATACCTATAATTTTTTATTACATGGCCCAACATAACGTTTGCGGATCCACGTAACCACGTGCGCCGCACATTCGCTTCCTCGCATCCACCATCTAGGAGCTTGTTCGAACTTTTGGGAATGGGTTAGGCTGCTGCTTAAGGATTTTTTTATCTTAGTCGTAAATGTTGTTGAATGTTCGTCGAGACGATTCTTCTTGAAGCCCGGGGTAGTTGTGCCGGGGGGATCCCTCGTGGATTTGAAAGAGCCAGTGCTGTGACGTATTTTAAGCAGAGGCTTGCAGATCAGACTTTTTGCGACTGTCTCGCTTCTTTAATTCGGCAGATCGTAAAATGGTGACATGGAGGAAAAAGCGAAAGGGGGAAAGAGGGAGATGTTTCACAATAGGCAATATAATGCAAAGGTCTTCATGTGGAAACACATGCAGCTGTTCTTTTTCTCAACCAGCCAGCATCCAGTCACAGTGAACGAAACTAATTGAGGTTAAACAAGACTAAGTACAAATGAAGCTCATAGCGAGTAAGTACGTAAACAAATTAGCCCGTGACCATGTGATAGTAATATGATAAAACTTAGGGAAGAAACAGATTGTTAAGTCATCCCGATTTTGGAAGTGATCAGTTGCTTTTTGGACACAATCAATAAGACGGACCCCACTTAGTTGCTGTTGCTCCCTCAATGAACATAATTCGCTCATAGGATATATCTTGATTCCCTCAGAAACTAGGCAATCTGCAGATACATGACAAATGACAAGCTAAGCTAGTGTATCGGGAAAGGAAAATCTGACATCGAGAATTTTCCCAAGAGGCTCATGAACGAATACGTCGCTTACGGTGAAAAGAACAACTGAAGATGAGTGGAATGGAGAAAGAAGTTTCACAGTTCTACCCCTTTCTTTAAAGGAGACATTTCATCTCTAGCTTTATCCTTTTTGAACCATTAATAGAATGAACAATATTACATTACTATAGCATGCTCATGAAAGTCGACAGCTAGTGAATCTCACTATTCGAATAGGACCTTGAGCCATAACGATCAAGTAGCAATCGAATGGATACAAGGATTCAATCGGTACTGTCATCTACAATATTATGCAAGCCAGAGAAGCGCATCATTGCATATGGGGTAGATCCAACACCTCATAAACCAAAATAACCCGCAGAGGATTCTATTACGACACAGAGACCTTTGAATGAGGTGTGACTGTACATTCCTCAATAGGGAATCGCAACGTCGTAGCCATCCTCTGAATCGAGCAGTGTTCGTTGAGTCGAAAAAGGGCTTACAACATAGAAACTCTTATCCGAAATTCGAGTAATTGTGGCATTATCAGAGGTAGGCTTTTGAGCTGGTAAAGACAAGTCATAAATGGTTGCATGGACATTGATTTAATCAAACCGACCAACTTCTGCTGCATCGCCAACTATTACCACTTTACCAGCATGACCGTTAACGTAATCACCTGGCAACAAACATATTGCCAAAAGCGGACGCATCTTGGCCATAACATTCTTTTCTGTAACGGGTTGGCAACGTGTACCATGTCGCCCATCCACCTTTCATAGGCATCGAAGCATCCTTTGATGTTTGATATTACGAAGGCAACTGCGGCTCAAGGTTCTCCCAAATATTTTCATGGTTTTACAAAGATATAACTCACCGGCCGATATTCTGCATATACCTAACAGCATATTGGCGACGGCGTTTTATTTCTTTCGTTGTTATACACTGTCATCAACTTCGCGTAACGAATATTCTTCTAATTCATAGATGAATTTGTTCGTTTTTGAAACCGTAAATTTTGCTGGTGTTCAGTGAGATACTTGGATAGTTGGATGACCCGTTTTCACTGATCGCGCTGGCTCCAGCATATTCTCCAACTTTTGGAGTTTTATTGGTTCAGCCATTGTGGTTTCCTGAAATCCCGAGGTCAGCCTGGCTAAAGTCTGCCCCAGGTTATCACCACCACAGGCAATGGCAGCCCTTGTGGATCAGAGGGAGATTCGCCACCATGCGACTTTGATAACAGGAAGGTGGTGGATCCTGATATTGATTCACTATTAGTCAGTCTTCCTGACCAAAACGACGGACTCCATCCCAGATTGGGAGACCCTACCAAGGGGATAAACCTCTCTCCCCATGGTAAACCGTAGCCCGACATCCAGGAACACCTTCCAGCGACGATGAGGCAGTAAACCGTTAGGAGGTCAGTGAGAATAACACTTGACAAAAAATATTTTTGTGTCTTGGTTTGTTGACAAGGTTTCACGAGGTTGTTGCAAATCGTTATCGTGACTAACTTTTCAGCGTCATACATTTCTTCAAAGCAGCAATCACTTTACTGTATTCTTAATGAGCAAACACGAAGTTTTTACGTTATCCTTTGGGACGAAAAGCTGACGTTTCGGCGGACTTCGCCTTCTTAAGAGCCTGAGAAGGTCAAGATGATTGCAATATTCCCAACCCCCATAACAAAGGAGGAAAAAACAGGAAACCCGATCTTCCATTACATGAAGACAAAATAGCTTCCTCGCACACTTATCGTTCTTTCTAGGTCTCTCACTGAGTATTACACGTGGAGACCAACAGCGAATGTTCACATGAATGTGCCTCTCACATCAAAATATCGCTCTCAATCGCTCTGCGATATCCCACCTGGTAACGATGAAACTGTAGGCTAGACAATTTGCTAGAAAATCGAGGCTTGCCGCCTCAGGAAGTAGAGCTCTCCATGATGAGGTACGTTCGCTATTAGAATTGGGCTGATTGATATCAAATTTCGGATAAACTTTCAAAGTCATTAATCACTATCGTGCAGGAATATTTCGCTGCTGCATCACACAAACGCAAAAATGTGGTCCGTTTATCCTGCACTTCTTTTCCAACGAAATTACTGTAGCTTGCTATAAAACGTTGCTTAAGAAGGGCTGGTCAAGGAAATTCGATAAGAGTGGATGAAATACCACCGGACACTCTAAGATACCAGTTAGTTCGTACAGCTTGCGTGACCGTCTATGTATAACGTAAAATTGCAAAATGTGCGCTAATAGTAGAGGCAGTGGTTGCATGAGTTCGCGCCCGGTTTGTCTGGCTACTTGTAAAGCATACGGGAGGAATACAGCATCGAAACGGGTAGACCACTCTGTGTTCGCATAGAAGAACACCAAGTAATTAAACTTAAGGTCAAACCAAATTCTCCACTGGGCATACATATGACACAAAGGCATAACGGGGAAGAATATGAAGTAGAAGTTACTATTCCTGCATGGGAATCGAGAACTTCGGCGTGCAGGCTCTCGAATCACTCCGGAAAAAATCCAAGAATCCGAAGATGAACCGCAAGGAGGAATGCCTCGTAATCACACGTGATCTCACACAGTATCTATGATTGCCTATAACATGAGAGGCACATCCCATTTCCATATGAACTCTATGCGGCTGGTCTCTACGTGAAATACTCAGTGAAAGACTCATAGGACACGATGATTGTGCGAAGAAACTATTTTGTATATAATGCTGAGGTATTTGCAAAACTCTGGACCGCAGGTGTATGCGGTGGGGAACGAACGCGCTCTATTGTCCTTACCGGGGAGTAGCGCACTTCACCACCACACCATCCGGGTTCTTCGTTTTGCCTGTCTCTCAGCTAGTTCTATTGATCTTTTGCCATCAGCAATCATCCGTCAACGAGCAAAACGAAGGACCCGGATGATGTGGTGGTGAAGTGCGCTACTCTCCGGTAAGGACAATAGCGCGCGTTCGTTCCCCACCGCATACACCTGCGGTCCGGAGTTTTGCAAATATCTCAGCATCATTGAAGTTATATTTCGCATACACCCAGCCATTAAAAAAATTGGGTAGTAAATAAAATGGTTAAGATTGCTTTGTTTTAATTGGGATTGAAATCTTGGTTCCGTTTTTCTGTGTGGTTATGGAGGTGTTCGGTTGGGTAGATTGCAATCAGCTTGACCTTTCCAGGTAAGAAATCTTCCAAAACGT